CAGATGCACAGAAAGGCTGATCGAGGCGGCTTCTCCATCTGTATTGTTGGTTGATGAAAAGTAAACCGACCTGGCCAAGTGGAAACCGAGAAGAAAAAAAGGCACCTGGATGATAGATGACTCTGTGAGGCACAACTTTAGGAGGCGTTGGTGTGAAAAAGCAAGAGTGAAACTGTCGAGAATATGAAGTCGCGGACGGCTCATGTGAGAAATGTGGGGAGAAACATGGTGTGTAAAGCAATGTTAAGACTCCATCCCAGTAGGTTCCTCATGGTCAAACACACACATGATGAATTTCAATATATTCAGCTGAGCATTAATTATGAATCACCTGCCTTGTTGGCTATGCATCAGCTGAGAAGAGGCAAACTAAGACGTACTGTATAGTGAGTGCAAGAAGCTGAGAAAAGAGCTTATGCAGCACATGTGTGTGTACAGGAGTGGGTGTGTGGGTATGCACGTGGCAGGAGGTGTGTGCTGGAGTGTGGGTGGAGGAGGAGGAGCGTGGGTTTACATTTTCTCAACACATATTGTTTCCCTGGTTGCTTGCTTCAAAATCCCCCTATTTGATGCCTGATACATGGCTTTTTGATTGATTATGCATAGATCTTCTGCAGCAGTAATGTTATTCATAGGTTCTGACATGCGGCTCTCACAGCCAAACTTACAGCAAAAGTCCCACAAGATTAAGGATATTTAGGATTACTCACAGAGCATGACCGATCTCCCAGGAATCCACACACACACACATATTAATATATATAATCATCCAAATACAAACACGTGGATTCTGGGCGATGTGGGTCTGGGTGACAGAACACATCAGTCACACCACAGGCTTTTCATAAATGTTGAACAAGCCAGCCTGGTAGGTGGCGTGGCATTATTCCAACTCATTACCATCAACGTGGATTATCGTAACATGACACGACCCAGTTTGATGCTTGTTAATAATCTATTTTTGCCCAGATTGGACGGCTGTGAAGCGAGGGCCAAGGAATGCCCAGTGGCAGGTCTGTTAAAAAACGAAAGAGGTTGCAGAACGGGGGGCTGCAAAGACCACAGACCTACAGCAGATACAAGGGTTTGTTACTGTGGGTGACGTTTATGCTGATATTGTATATTCTAGTGTTGTGCTTGTGAAGCTGTTAAAATGTCTAAGGCGCTAACATGAAGAAGAATATCAACTTTAGTCACCTGATAAGGTGAGACAAACCTGATCAATATTTCTTCTTCTCTGGTCATATTGATGTGCTGTTTTAGGTACAGTAACATACAGCTTACTACATTACCCCCACCTTGACATAGGTAAAAAATATAATGCTAATCAGTCTAAAATTATTATTATCTTAATAAAAGAAAAAGAAAAGAGAAATCTCTAAAATACAATATCTTATCTGCAGAATATTTCAACTGAATCCTGGTTTGCTTTTTACTTGTAAAAGTTTGGTTCAACGATCACTGCAGGTAATGACTTAAACACATCACCATGCATCGCATCAATATTAGAACATTAATCAATGTGACAAATTATGTCAGCAAGCAGAAACACAGTGAAAACAATAAATCAAAGCGCCAGTGGGGAAATTAATATGTGCTGCTATGCTGACTAGATCACTGAGTCACTCAAGGCAACATGTTCCACTGTCTGGTTTTAAGAAATATGACAAGTGACAGAATATTTAGAAGAATTTGTTTTGTCATTTTAAAGCATTATGGATTTCAGTTTCCTTCAAATGTTATTGCCCATCATCATGCTGACTTTAGGTTTTGAGAAATGTACTTCTCAGATGCAGCTTCTTAATGGACTGTTTAGCCACATAACACCTGAGAAGTTTTGACAGACAAGCTTATCTGCTCCTCCAGTAGAAAGGGATCTGAACTGAATTAAATTCAGCACGACTTGCTGCTTTTGCCACAGATGTAAATATATCCCAAAAAATCTGACATGAAACACGACAGCCTCAGTCAAAAACCAGTTGTATGTGTGTGACAGAATCAGCAGTTTGTGAAATGGAAATGTGTCCTTGTTTTTGAAGTACTCAACAATTTCTCCTTTTTGTTTGCAGTTTTTAATCTCCGTGAGAAACTGCAGCAGATTATCGAGGCTCTGAAAATTGTGGAACACAACATTTTATTGTTGCTGGTTAAAAAAACAGTGAACCTGTGGGCTAATTCATGTTAATTAAGTAGGAAAAAGCTAAGCATGTTAAATGTGAAAGCATCGATCCCAGGATTACAGCAATAAGCCACTAATTAAGTCTTTTATATATATTCTGTTTGAAATATCACACTTAATGTCAGAATCTGCATCCATTTAAATACTGATGCATGACAGCCATTGCATGCATGTGCTCATATTAGCTAATGTAATTGTTACTTTATGTTCTTATGAGGCAAAGATAATCAGAGGGTTATTAAACAAACTGAGTTTTGTCCAGAAAAACTGGAAGTTGAGCTGCCGAGCAAAATCCCTCATCACCGGAGGACTGGACTGGATGTTATGTTTGCCTGCTCAGCAAAAAAAAAGAAAAAAAAAAGAGTATAGAGTCTGATCTGCTGATCTAAGAGATCTGCTTCAACCCCTCCATGGCAGAGGTTATGGTTAACCATAAAAAAAAAGTGGGATAAGGCTGAGGATGTAAACACAAGCCAAGACCCAGCAAGACAAATCCCCTAAATGGCCAAACATTGTTTATCTGAAAATAATACACGGATCCATTTCTCATCCATTTCTTTCTGCATGGACTTTGGAAAGAGAGAGATTCATTTAAGAGAAGAAGTAGTCTGAAATATGTCTGATTATTGACCCAAAGAGAATTGATATGAAAGCTGTTTGACTGTTAACCCAACACGGAGCTCTGTGGAACTGCACTGTATGCAGACTCGAGTGTTACTACACCAAGGGATGAATTTTAGTCGTAAGGATGGAGGCTGGGTCACTGTGAAACGACTCACTCCACATACAGTAAGTGGAGTTGGTTAATTTGTTCTTTGAAAAGACTCCAATGAATAATAGCAGCATCCTTTATTAGGCAGGCCTGGTTAATTCATAATGTGTCATTAGTTTTAGGTCACAAGTTTTCAGTGAAGCCTTGAATGGGCCCCGGAGGATGAGTGAAGTGCACAAGCTGACAGCTTTGATATCTGTTCAATCCACAGACTCAGTTTCCCTGTGAACGTTTCTCTCACACGCCTACTCTGTGCTCCTGACTGAAGACACGACAGCATTATTTCCAGCAAGTTCTCCAACCTGTGGTATGATCGGAGCTTTTCCTCATTTAGAGCCTTTCCTGTGACAGGAGATATATCAGTGTTAAAATCCTCATTTAAAAAATAAATCACTAACCCTTCTGTGATGTAAATGTTTGGTTTGGTTTAGGGAAAGATTGTGGATTGGGTTATGTGCACAAAGGTTAGAGGAAATACAGCTCTAAGATTAGACTCTCGTTGTCATGGTTACAATAATGGAGATGTGGTTACAGAAGGATAATGGTCATGGTTAAAAGAAACATCAATGACTCAATAACAAACGGGGAACAATCGGATGTTCTGTCGACCCATTAATCCACTCCCACTTCCTACTCGCACCGGCCTCCCTCCTTTCTGCCACAATTACTATGGCCACTAGGGGGCGTTGATTCATGAGCTCAAGCTCCTTCGAACAAAAACCTATGTTTTGTTATTTAAGGAAGGGCAGTCTCTATATTTTTGCATGTCACAGTACATGGACTTAAAGGTTTAGTGTGTAGAATTTAATGACATCTAGTGGTGAAGTTTAATTTTGCAGCTGAATAGCCCTCACCTCACCCTCCCCTTCCAAACATGAAAGAGAACCTGTGGAAGCCTTCAGGACCCGCTCCAAATGTAAATATAAAGTATGTAAATATAAAGTATTTAAATATAAAGGGCCCATTATAGGGTAAAGAGAACAATAATTTATAGGATTTAGATGAAACACTGGAGTGAAAACATCACTCGGATGATTCAATATTCAATATCCCATTCATCTAAATATTACATACTGAACCCTAATTGACACCCAAGCACCAAAACATTACATTACAAGATGGACGACTTGACAGCTCCCCAAAAATGAAGCCAAAGCATCACCCCCTGGTGGCTGGCTGCACTACAGGTTCTATAAAAATGGGGGGAAATGTCATGATTGACAGCTGAGACTGACTCATGATTGGTGGAGGGCATGTATCTACAGGACCTAAATAGTGCGGCTCCACTTCTGCGCATACTCTGGCTCCAAATGGTGTCACCAGTGCAAAATGGCGGCCCAGTGGATCCAGAATATTTGGGTTTCATTTTTGTACAGTGCAAGGGAGTGGAGACTCCTGGTCCATCTTTATAAACAGTCATTGTGCAGACCAGTCAAGTGCTTATAGACTTTGTCTCCGAATTGGGAAATAAAATCTTAATGGACCTGGCTTTGTTTCAGAGTCACCACAAAGTTGGAGGCACGGATATCATAATATAGATTTCTGTTAATTAAAACTGTTTTCATGCAGTGAACAAAAATATATTAGATTAGAGGAATCTTTAAGTATTAAGGAAATCTCCTCAGAAACCTCCTGGGTTTTTATGTTTGCAGAAAAAACAGATGCTCATAGCTCTGTGATATGAACGTTAATAATAAAGGCTGAAACATCAACCCCATGACCAAAAGCACATGAAAGTATGCAGACAAGGGTTCTCATGTACATTTTCTGTGAAGCATACATTTCACTGAGGAGGATAAAAAAAGCAATAAAAAAGAAAAATGACCAGAGACAAAGCAGGAAGAGGCACAGAAAGAGAGGCAGACACAGAAGGAGGGATGAGAGTAAGTAGAAAAAAGGACCAAAATAGAGACAGTGGCAGAGAAAAGAGAGAGAGACAGTGAATGAGTGAGGGAGGGAGAGGGAGTGACTTGCACCTCCTTCTTTCTATGTGACAGTCCAGCTCCACTGCCTCTATCTCACACACTCTCTCTCTCTCACCGTCTCGCCTCCACATCTCTTCATTCCTGCACTGGCTCCGCTTCTCTTCCCTCTTTTTGTTTATTCCCCTTCATTTCCTCCTTCTCTGTCCTCCTCCTCCTCCTCTATCTTCCTCCTCTTCATCAACATCTTTTCATTCTCCATCCTTGAACATGCACCTCACGTGAAGTCTGTCAACTTGCACAGCCGGTGGATGTAAGCCGGGTGAAGAAAAGAAAGAGGAACAAGAAGGAGGAGGAGAAGAGGAAAGAAAAACAATAGCCTGAGGCATTAATGATCTGTCGTGGGATAAGAGGAGAAAACACGCACGTTTGCATCTTTCATTGAGCGTCTTGAACGGAGCAACAGCATGGATCTGTCATTCATGGCTGCGCAGGTGAGTCATGTTTCCTCAGCACGCAGTCAACTTTTTACTTTCACTAATAAACACTGATTGATTTCATGGGCGTGGCAGGTCAACAAGTTAATTTGGAGCTTCGTCAATTGATGATCAAAGAAGAATTGAACCTGATCAATCACGAATGAACAGCATCATGTTTCATCTGGAAAGAGCAATGCATATCCACACAGTGGTGCTCAAAGTGTTTGTTGTAGCCTACATAGCAGATGATGATATTATAGGGGTGCTTATACTTTTAATTTCCTTTTAAAGTTAATATAATAATTTATTATAATTTTTTTAAATAAGGTCTGACATGGACTGTACTTATATGATTCTGTGTCAGAAATCTAGAGCAAAGACCGAGACAAAATATATATGCATTTATCCATTTAAATGTGAAATTCTATGTAGAAACTATACAGTATCTAAAGAAGGTCCTGTCTCCAAAACATGACGCACCTGGGTGGTTAAATAAAAAAATTAAGGAAGCTTTAAAGGGCACACAGACATCCACGTCCTCTGTAAATGTAGCCTGTTATTGTTTCTTTTTCATTTATTCGTACATTCATTCATTCATTATGTTTTTTTTATGTCCACATAAACAAGAAATGTTTTTTACAGGACAATAAAGCAATAAGGTAAAAGAATAGGAAAACCAAAATATGTTTAGACCGACAAAATGTAGGCTGACAAGTTATTGTAGTGTTTATTTTGTATTTTAGTAAACAATAATAAATTGCACCAGTCTAATTGGGCCAAGACTTCATGACTTACTGTGTCACTCATTCAAATACTCAGTAATAATTGTTTCCATAGCGATGCATTTGAACACGTTCCACCCAATTGATTTTGGCTTCATAAAGAACATGGGTTATTGTGCATCTGTTTTACAGCAGACACGTGGTTTGTTTTCATTAGGAGCTGTGGTATTCTGCCCCCCCCCCCCTCTCTCTCACTGTCTGGCTGCTTATGGCTTGTCTGGTGCCATCTGCTTTGCCATTTTGTGCGCAACAGCTATTAAAATGGATCGTAGCATTATCTTCGCTGCCAGTGGCTGCTCCGTGGGCCAAACTCAGCCAAATGCTCCCAAATCTTTATAAATCAAGAAACCTTAAATTGAAATACATTAGCATGGAGCCATCTGAGAATATTTTTCTGTCCGAAATGCCCTGATTGAAAGAGAGACAGCAAAACAGAAAGCATGAAACCTCACCTAAAATCACTCAGCACTTTTGACTCGCACTGTGAAAACCTTATGTGAATTTAATACAAAACTGCACCCTCTTCTAGGATGTGATGTTCTCTTGTGCATCTAAAAACTTTGGTTGTGTAGCAGTGTTCAGGGGGCAGAATACTCTGAGCCTATCAGGGCTGCTGCAGTGACTCGCTCATATTCACAATGGTTGAATATTACAGTCTTGGAAACCACTAAGCTGGAGCAGGGGGACTTTGGTGCATATGTAGGAGGTTTATTCAGCTCCCTCTGTGCTGAGCTGCAAACTAAACATGCTTCCAATTGAAAAAAACACAAGTGGAAGCAATATGTGAAACAGTCAAAACACTGGACAAAGTCTAAAATAAGAATTTAACCAAAGACTGTGAAAACAAGGACATTTTATTCCCCAATTTATAAACTGTGAAATTACTCACAGCATCACTCAACTGTCACAAATCACTAACAACAGTCCCAATGGGAAACTACAACACAGTCAGTAGTCACATACACATGCATGTAACATTTTAAGCTGAATCAGTTAGTTGATTCATTGATTAGGATGATGACAGAAAACCAATTTAATAATATTAAAACTGATTGATAATTGGAGAGTTTGTGTCAGATCAAGACATTTGAAAATTGTTAGCCCTTTCAGTATAGAGGGTAACACGTCGCCTTAGTAAAGAGGACAGTAGGCAGTCCATACAGTAAAGAGGGTAAAACTAAGCCCTAGTATAGAGGGTAACAGGTAGTCCATACAAAAAAGAGGATGACAGGTAGTCGGTCCAAACAAGTTTATACATCATTGTTCAGGTCAAGATGACCCCATACATACAGTAAACAGCTACTCCATACATTAAAGAGGGTTACCATAGCCTTCACAGAGGGTAACAGTTAGTACTTCCAGTATAGAGGGTAACATGTAGCCCTTTACAGAGGGTAACAGTCAGTCCATACAACGAATAAACTGTTAAAATGTCACATTAGCAACATGACCTTAAGATAGCTAATACAGTGGCTAGCCCTCGTCTGTACTAAACTGTTAGAGATACAAAACATATGAAATAACAATTGTTGAAGAGTAGTTAAAAGACTTGCTCATCAGTCTGGGATGGCTTATGTTATAATGCTACGCTACTGTGCCAGTTTGGCGGCTGCTACTCGCAACAATTCTTGTAGCAGAATGGCACAACTCCATTTGTGGAGCAACTATTTGGAGCAAGTTGTTAATCCAGTCTTAAATAAGGCTCTGAATGTTTGCCTCCAGTTCCCCATAATACCATCATATTTATTCACTCCTACCCACTGTTTCCCTCGCATACATGCCTTCTCCACAATAATACAGCACCTTCAGAGAGGTAATGGCTAATTTAACAGAGGTGAAATTCATCCCAATGCCCTGAGTCACTCTGTAATGCTGACTGTCAATAAAATCAGGCAAATGTCCCTGGAGTTTTGAGGACTGAGTTCACAATGGCTTATTTTTTGCCGATCCATCTCAGTGTAGCCCTGCTGCCTGCAAATCATTGGACCTTCGCCATCACTTTGTGTCTGAAACATGACGGATGCTGCCACAACTGTTCTCCTACACATAGAGAAAGTTTTGAAACTCCAACTCACAGGAGCTGGCTATATTTTTTCCCTACAGCAAATGGACAAAGAATAAATAGTTTGGGGGATGCGTCATTATTGCTGCAGTGCACTATAAAACACTATATTTGTGATATATCTTGGAAAATTGAATTTCCTAAAGAAACTAAGCATTCATTTAGCAAAAAGACATCCTGCAGGAAAAATACATGGGTTTTGTGTGTACCATTGTACAGAATACCAGTTCAGAGTGGTAAGATAATTGGCCACTGTTTTACCGCATTGGTCGCTCTCCCTTTTATCACAGAAACATGCTTAATAGCTTTCTGTGCTTTTGTGCATTGGTGAATGATTTGCATCTGCCAGCAATACCTCACTGGTTTGGAAGGGCATACTCCATTTGACTGAAAGTGGTGGCATCCTGCAGCGTTACAAAACATGGATTAATAGTTGACAATCACCATGGAGCTGCTGCATGCTAAGCTGCAAGCAATGAGGCGATTTGTTCTTCATTTCAAATACACTGAATCAAAAATGTTGTTTTAAACAGCTTCCCTTAGCCCTTTAGATATGGATATCAAGATTTATTTTAAACTTGCTCTCACTTGTGCACTTCTTTCTGTTTGTTGAAATTGTTTGACTTTCAAAGATGACTGAGATGGCAGATGTTAAAGGCATAAAAAGCCAAAGCGTTATTAACTGATGCTAAGGTCAACTTTGACATGTTGTCGACAGACTCCAGAGCCATCCTAGGCATGCTGCCAATCTTGAACTTGCTTCAGCTGACAAATCTGCCACACAGGGCAGCAAAACCCTTCAGGGTTTGTCTATCCAGTGTACAGTGACCCAGTGGCCTTGGCCTTCAACTTGTACCTCCTTTCCATTTCTTTTATGTCTGAGTCAGGTTAGATGTTTTGTCTTTTCATGACAGACAATCAACATTGCACATAACTCAATTGCTTATTCAGTGAGGCTGTGGCTCTGAGTCATTCTACCTGACAGGGTGTTCCATCACCTCTCATTTTAGGAAGAACAGACAAGAGTGAAAGACTGAGGATGGAAGGAGAGGTTGACAACTTAAACCCAAACAGAGCCATCTTTATTTACCTGTGGCACCAGAACCCGAGATCAGGAGCAGAGAAGAGTAGCAGATCCGCTCTGGTTTAATTTGGTGGCAAATGATTGGACGATACAGTTAGTGTCAGAGAGTCAGTAGAATCAGATGATCCGAAGAATGGATCTCTGAGTTGTCTTAATGCAGCCAGCTTCACACACTGCCAAGGAAGTTACAAGCAACATTTGTTTGGAACATGCATAGACTATATAAAGATGGGGGATTGTGAAGCCGTATCTTATTGATTGCCCCCTGGTGGCTGGCTGCAATATCAGCTAAAAACCCTGTCTCCTGCATGTTAGTGGAGACGTTAAATATATTCGTGTTCAGTTTGCTGGTAGATTTGGTTTTAATTAGATATTTGATCATTTGAAAACAGGATGAAGCATCACGACATCTGACTAGTGATTTGTCGAATGTGTATATATGCAGGACCATAATATTGCAGCTCTGTAGTATAATAACTACTATGCATACTCCCAAAGGCACATGTTGGTAACAGCCATATCCAGGATTTTTTAGCTTCATTTTTGTACAATGGGAGGAATATGAGACATGTATCATCCATCTTCATAAACAATCTATGAGGATGTGCTGAATAATTACAGCTACTTAGATTATAAAGGTCCAAATAAACATCTGAACCAAGTGACGCAAGATCAGAGAAAGACCGGCTGAAAACAGAGAGGAGACTTCTCTGTGCAACGCTACCCCACGATATGAAGAGAGATATGCAAATGAAAGTTGAATAGTTCACAGATGAGATTATTTTCCTATTAAACCCTTTTAGAAAATGCAGCCCCCACAAGGCCTATATCAAGACCATCTTTGCTTTCAATTGCATAAAAATTCAATTACATAATCATGTTATCTCTCTGTGCATTCTTCACACCCAGACTGTCCCTTTCTAAAGAACAAAAAAAAAAAAACCTCATGGTCTCTATCGTGGAGGCTTATTTGAAGAGTGTAATAATGGCACAGCAGCCTTTTCATCATAAGGAGTTCATTTCCCCTCTGGTCTTTAGTCTGCTTTTTTCAGCAATTGGTTTTATATGAAAGTTGTAGTCCTGAGAT